GCATACTACCGTTACTTGTTTGCGATTTTTTTGTTGACTATGTTGTGCATTTTCCTTCATATAAGAATGGTCCAACAAACAAAATTAATGACACCGCCAACGAAAAAAATTATTAAAAAAAAAAACAGCCGCAAAAGTTTCAGAAAACTCTGAATAAACAGTATGAAATTTCGTTGACACTTTGTTGAACTTATTTTATACGCAGCTTGAAACAACTTGACACATGTGACGTGGGGCACACCGCAGGGTGGCGTGTTCTCGAAATGGGGAAGTGCAAAGGTTGTCGCTTATGCGGATTATGTAGCCATCACGTATAACGGCAAGTACCCGCAAACTCTCACCAACTTGATGCAGAGGGCACTTTGCGATGTATCAATATGGTCTTACCATTGTAGTCTCTGCGTCAATTCCGAGAGAAAGGAATTTGTGTTCTTTAAGAGAAAATACAAGATGCCGCTACTGACTCCGATGGAACTGAACCGGCGACTCTTTAACTTTAGGTATAAATATACATTTTTCAACGCCAATCTTAACAGAAAACTGATCTGGTAGGAGAACATAGTCCAGCGTTATGAGAAGGCGTCTGTAGCCCTACATTCGAGCAGGAAGGCCATTGGCAAGAAATATGGGTTAACCCTGCTGATGGCATCCCTTGCTGCACTTCAGTTAAGTGAGACAGGGCAATAGGAATTGGGATTCCAGTGTCACTCCTTAATTTTGGGAAACTAGAACTTTCTCTGGTTCCGGATTGAAGCTTCGTCAGGAAAACTTCAAGCAGGGATGAGTGCACTTCAGCTGTGACTAAGGTAGTGTCTTCCAAGCTAAAGTAAGTAAAGATATGGCTATGAGGTTGGGTTCCTGGTAATAGGCATATAGAGGGTAACTGTAATACGGACGAACTTGTGAGGGATATATCTTACACAATTGGTGCTCTAACAGGCCTTATAGGCAGTTATATACAGAACGGCTCGGAGTTTATCCGGGTTTTTCTTAATTTTAAAATCAGGAATCGGAGTTTTTTCAAATTAAAATTTTTCGAATAACTCAAAAACCGGTTTTGGCAAAAAAGCGAATAATCGAACACATTACCATGGATCCTGCAGAACTTACAAAAGTTGTGAGACGGAATAGCCAGTTCTCCATCATGCCTGTAACTGTCTGGCATTATCGAGTAGTAGATAGGGATTTCTGGAGTCTCCTTTGTTTAGTGACCTTGACAAATTGGGATATTTAAATCCCAGGTGCCTGACGAGCTTCGCCAAGGATTCAAAATGATTCAGCAATGGGAGAGTAAAAACTTTTAGCTGTGGTAACAGAACAGGCCTTCAATTTGTGATCTATATGTGCCCCTACGAAGCAGTGGCAGCCACACCTACCTACACTACCTACCTAGAATGAAATACGTGCATATATTTTTATAACGAAATTATTAAATCTTATTCGAAATAAGAAAAACTTATAGGGTGGCCTTATCATTGTGTCGCGCACTATATATGTATGCTTGTATATACCTACCAAAAGGCAATTGAATATCGAATTAAAAAAAAAGAAAAAGGCCATGCGGCAAGAATAATGTTCCATAAAGTTTCAAATAATAAACATGCGCTTGCGACAAGCAATAAGCAACAAGCAATATGCAACAGCAGCAGCAGCAGTGGACGTGCTGGCTGCGCCGCAACAAGTCACTACTGCCCTTGTCCGTCCCAGAGTGCTGTGCAACACCGTGTTGCAAGACTTGTAAATACCTTCCGCTGACGGGCGCGCGCGTTCCCATGTAATCGCGAGCGTTCATTATTGATGCTGTTAGTGATAAAAAAAAAAAAAGAAATCACCACCACTGCAGTAAGCGGAGAGGTGCCACATTGCAACACAGCCGCTATCCAGCAGCTGCATCAGTATCGGTAGCCACCAGCCACTATGGCAAAGAATCAAGTCTGCATAAAGTGTGCCACTGCAACGCTTTACTTTGTATTGCATGCTTGCATCGAACACAGATTTGTTTCTTCTTTTTTTGCGCTTTATTGCTCTTTATTTTGTCAATTGTTTTAGCTTATTTCAATGTTTATTCACTCCCCACGCCACGCTCCCAATGGACGCCCCAGTCACAAAAGGTGCTTGAATTTATGAAACCGATCGCGAAATTACCATAAATTTTTAATTCGTATCACGGTGATGTCGCTTAAGTGCGCTGTAGGTTAACTTAAGGTTGCGCTGCTTGACTTACTCGCCGAGGCATGACGGGCTGCCGTGCTGCCGTGCTGCTGTGCCACTGTGCCGCCGTGACGTACCTTCTTCTTCTTGCAATGCACAAGGTGACATAGCTAAGATGTCATTGTTGTTGTGTCGCATGCAAAATGCATATTGGAGACATAAAGTAGTGGCAAACTGTGGTACAGCCAGCAGCAGCGATATGTATGCCTCGTCTGCTTGCAGCAAGCTGTCTGTCGAACGTGTGCACAAACATATGTTTACAACACGTTAAGCAGCAAAACCGCTACGTTAGTCAGTTAGCGCTTGTGGCGCTCACCTGCAATCGACGGAGATCAGTTGGGGAGACAAAAAAAAAAAATTTAAATAAAAAAAAATTGTTCGTAAATGTCGTAAATAAGCATCGAATTGACAGGCGAATACAAGCGAAAAGCAATTGTTGATTTCTGCTCTTAGAATCTGAGCGGATCGAGTTGGCTCGATGGTAAATATTAGCTTGTTTAAGCCTTTTTTGGTTGTCGATTGGGCATAATTGGCCTCTAATGAGCCAAATAATTCAAATGTGATGTTAGTGAACAAAAATAAAAGTAATTTTAAAGGAAAATAAATGCTAAGTTATATTCGAGTTGTAAAATTTTATAAGCAATTCATCCGTTGCAAGGCATTCAAAAGAATTGTATCTATCCAGACTTCACCACGGCATACCTCACTCGAACCCCGTCAGCTAACACTCTCCCTCCGGTAGTTTCAATTAGTTGGTTTATGAAATGCTGATCACGCTACAACTGGCAGGCTCTCTCTTTTGGTGGATTGAGAGAAGTACACAGACTTATTTATGAGACCAAGTTGCGCTGAACAGATGGTACATGCGCCTACCTCCCAGCGCTTTGCCACCAGCTTCGAGCAGCTCAGATACGATATTCCTTCACTTACGAGGCCTTTGTTGTTTTAAAGTAACATAATTACTATTTTCCCCTCGACTTGGTCGAGTGGGTGAACCATGTGTATCGTCCCTATATATGGGACTGGGTTCTTCTTCATAAAACGCGCCACCGATATTGCGAAGGCGTTAAAAAGTTTTCTCTTTCAGCATCACCTGTTCAAAAACTAGCCTCCGTATTAAAACAATTTGTTTGCTGCCTTATTTTCCTATAAATTTTTTAAGCTGCGTTTCTACCTTCCAGCAAAAATAGCAAATGTATTAAATCCTGATTCCTGGGAAGATCACTTTCAAGGCAGGAGGATTAACAGAGCCATTACTGATCTCCGACTAATCACCTCTCGGGCCGAAATATCAAATCACTGAACTTGTTGACGTAAAAGGTTTCTAGTATCATTGAGGAAAAGATCCGCTGGTTTCCAATCTCAAGAACCGAAAACATTTTATTTTTTTTCTAAAATTTCATTAAATGTTTTTTTGGTTGTGTTTCCGATAATCGTGGAACGATTTTCCGTTATCGCTTGTCAAACTTGGTTTGGAGACAAACCGGTTTCGGCGTTATGTCATCTTCAGTGTCATTTTTCGTTTTCTGAAAACTGAAGATGGCACAATGCCGAAACTGGTTTGTCTCCAAACTAAGGGTTTGACGGAAACTCGTTCCACAATACGTCATTAGATGTTGTTTATGGGTAAAAAAAAGTAAAAAAAACTAAACAAATTTACTTCTGAAGGTCTCATCGAATAAAAAATTACCTAAACATTAAAAACGATCTTCAAAAGTAATATTTTTCGATTTCTTTCCTTTTTTTGCAATAAACTTAAAAAAACTAAAATGTGTTTTTCGGTTCTTCAAGATAAATTTTCTAACCAACGAAATAATTTTTTGTGAATTTTCTACCTCAAAAGAGTTAAAATACTTTTAAAGTTATTCCGCTACTTAGTTGCTCTCGTTCGCGAGATATTATATTTTGTCACACAAATTTTTCCACACTGTGAACCACCCATAACACACTTAAAATATATTTTAATGAAAATGACTTTATACTGGCTCCTTCTCTAACTAAATAAATCAGTTTCATATATAGCTTTATAGTTCTGCTTTGCTGGATTGACCTTGCTTTGCAAATGGGGATTTTAACCCACTTAAACGGAGCCTAGTCAATAGACATGCGCTCGCTTAAATCAACCCATCAATACTTTGATCAATACTCATTCTCAGTTGAGTTTTCATTGCCGAAGGTTTGTCGTCAAATGCCTCTGGTGGTAAAAATGGTTTCGAAAACATATTTGGCCTACATTGGTTACTTGTCGTAACATTGGTTCACCTTGAGGGGAAAAAAGGCAAAGAACGGTACCTCAAGCAGTGCTATAAAAAGAGAAACTGCTTTTACAAAAAAAAAAAAAATCCTGGCGATACATCAAGCCAGTTCTGCGGGTTACGCAACGAGAGGACTGCAAGAATGGTCCAAGAGAGTTTTAATTTTTTAGTGGAGTTAGTACGGCTTCAAATAGAGAAGAAGGTTGCAAGTATGCCTGAAGCTATTCCAGCAATTAAGAGACTTTTCACTGTATTTTGATCGAAATTGGCCTAGACGATGCAGCATACTCGTCAACCCTTTGAGTTATTCAAACTTTCCACCAATTGCCGTTAACGCTTGGTCCAAACACTAATCGGGTGTTTTAGACTGTCGGGGTCGAGGTGTAGAAATTTGTATATGAACCAAAACTATTGATTAGACCCACAGACTTTTCTACAGATTTTCACATACATATTATACATACATATAACTCATTCCCTCAAGTTTTATAGAGGAAACAAAAAAAAATTAAGTAAAGTCATAATTGAACTTACGTGTTTCTCTGGCCGCAACACCACCAATCCATTTGCCACACAGTGCTCCGCACGTTCTGCCGCACCACGCCCATAACGACTCTGTATGGCAGCTGTGGCCGCAGCAGACAGCAACTGTGGTGAGGTCTTCGATGTTGGCGACGAACAGGCGCTCAGCGAAAGTGGACGTGTCGATGACATTAAGTTATCCAAATCGCGTAGAAATTTATTTGCCCAAATATTTACATCCTCCTGTGTAGCGTCGATGGCGGTAGAAGCATCTTCACTGTTATCTTTTGGCTGGCCACTCTCCACGCCGTTCATCTTGGGGCTGAGTGGTGGCGGCGGTAAAGCTTTAAGTTCTGTGGTGGTGCGGCTATGCAAATCGATGCCTTTTACTGGTGTAGATGCAGCTGCTGTTGCTGCTGCTGCTGCTGATATAAACGAAAGTTGGTCGGCATTGGCAACACTTGCAATTTCCGTCATGTTGCTGTGCGCTGGTGGTGACGCGTCAACTACATCGCACTGGGATAATCTGTTAGCGCTGCTTGTGCTGTTGTGGCAGTTATTAATAACTGCATCGTTATCATTGGCTGCATTTCGCACAGCTGTGGCGTTGGTATCGGCCTCTTGCAGTTGCAGTGCACGCTGCCGAGCACGACGCTCTTCGAATACCTCGTTGATTTCGTGCTGCAAATGAAAGAGTGAAGATGAGTATTTTTTTTTTATTAAACATTTGTCATATGCAAATACTATGTAATGAAGTAATAAACTTTGAAATTAAATTACGTTTTTTAATTTCTCTAAGGAATTTCACTGGTTATATGGTAAAGAAGTAACTCAGGCAAAAATTTTATCTACAACTCTTTTAATTGAAATCCAGCTTCGCATTGTGCCAGCTACTAGCCGATCCAATCTCAATTAGAATTCCCTTCAATTCCATTTCTCAGCGCTAATTTATTTGCCATTACAATCTAGCCATTTTTAAGCCTACATACATACATACTAGCTGTTGTACAGACACTACCAAAAGCAGCTAGCTTAGCTCAGTTCAATTTACACACAGCCACCTAGACTGAAGCTCACGCGCCACCTTTTCCCACACAAAGTCTAACACTCCAATGTGGCCCACTGCCGGCCCCCGGCACAACAGTCAATTTATAATAATGTCAATGCAACAGAAATCGAGAGGAAATAAATTAGAACGTCGCGACTGAGATAGCAACAGATAGCCAATGACGCCGCTGTGGCGTATAAATTGCTTGGCAGCAATTTGTAAGCGGGATTAGACCAAGACCAAAAAACCACACAAAACCAAGCAGGGGAAAAAAGAACGCCATAAGATGATCAAGGCGCAAGCGCAGCAACAAATGGGCACTGCAACTGCAGTCCAGCCGCCAACATCGGTGTTTTGCGCGGCAGTAGCAGCGATGAGTTGTGGCTGTGGCTCATCGTTGTAGGTTCTCGGGCGTATTACTTAATTAAAAACGTGCCCACGGGTTCTGCCTCCGCGTCCAGCTTCTTAGCACTCTAGCGCAGTCTGCTGATCGCAAATATCATTTTTCACTCACACGCTGTGTAATAGAAATTCAAAGCTTGAGATCGTTGCTTACTTATTTCTTTTTTTTGCCCCTTTTTTCTACTTTTGGCGCTGCACAATTCCGATGCTATATTAGCAGGCAATAAATTTTCGTAAGCCTCACAAAGCAGCGTTAAAAAGAAGCGAAAACAAAAAGAAATAATCAAGAAAAGTAGCAGCCTCTTTGAATGAAAGTAGTTAACAACTAACAACTGGCACTTGGCCCAAACAGGCCATTCGATGTTGCCACTGTTCGGTGTGTAAGTGTGTGTGTGTCCAATGCGTTGACAACAATAGCTCGCATTTGGCTTTATCGGCGTTTGATGGACCTGGCGGCCTCACTCTTAGTTATCCTCATTCTCTTTGCGTTTTTTACCCCCCACCCCAACTAACCTTTTCTGCATTATTGTTCTGTTGAATTTAGCGCATCATTTGTCGTATGTCAGGACATGACAAATTTATGGGGTGCATGCGATTGCGAAGTGAAGTTACTTACTTAAATAAAATGTTGTCGCTTTATTTGGTGGCATTGCACACTTTTGCTGTGTTATGTGCCGCCACAGCTTTTAGTGTCAATCGGTCGAAATGATTGCCACCAACTATGCGCGTAAAGGATGAAGTATTGAACCGGACGCACGCAAAGCGTGGGAAAGTGGGTTTAGAAGAAATATTATAAATAACTTAAAAGGTGTGCATATTCCAGGGACCAAGATAAATTGAGGGATATGATTGCCAAAAAGATGCCACGTTGGCTGGCACAACTTTATCTGCTTGGGACTGGTGATGGGAATGGGCGTAGGCAGTACCGTCGAGAGAAAACTCAGGCCCCTATTTATAAATTGTATTAATTTAAAAGTATATGGCCCAAATCGCCGAAAACGAAAAAGAGGGGAAACATTTTTTTCTCAGGTTTCGCAGCTTATGTTTATATCTCGGTCATACATATTCTGAGGTATTAGAGAATATAAATACTAACACGTATCTCCTGCTCTCAAACATGAAAATTCATTAACCCTGAGACACCTCTAAATTAATGAAAATTAAAAAGCACAACCACCACCATTCTTTGCATTATACTTGCTTCTCTTCGATTGCCTTGTAGTACTTTGAAGTTAATAAAAAAGTATTCGACAAAATAATTAGTGATTAAGTTTCTTAATGAAAATAAAGTCGGCATAATTTTTTAATTTAATGCCCAAAATATCAACAAGTTTTTTGACACGGAATCCACCATGCTAAAAATGGTAAAATCTCGTTTTCTTCTAGCATTTTCGGCCTTCTTCATCATCCAAGTGTGCTCGGTGCAAAACTATTTGTAACGTAGGTTTTTTTCATAATTAAATTTTCAGTTAAAATTATTTTTTATTTAGTCAAAGATAGGGCTCATTTGAAAGCAACATTGTAAGCTATTCAACGTGCTATTGACCCATAATTAAAACTTATATTCTTTCCAACTCAAATAGGCTCAGAAATTAAAAATCACGCGGGAAAAACGCCAGAATTCTATTATTTCAAAAAGGAACGAGGCCAACAAGAGCAAAATAAGAGGCTAAAAGAAGAAGAAAATTCTCTGATTAAGTAGAATGTGGGTTTAGACAAATATCTCTACTTACATATATACATACTTTAATATTTAATACTTTTATTGACGATAATTGAGTTAGCGTATGAAATGAAAGATTGATATATCAAGATTTCTTTTTCGGAAGACAGACGATTTTCAATAGACAAAGTACACACAACGCTTTTCAATTTCTGTAGATAGTTATTTTAAATAAAATCACACATTAATCTGTTGGAATTATTTTTCTATTAATGCTACTTATTGAATAAAACACACTAAAAGCCATTAAAAACCTAATTATATTATGTATATCGCAAATGTAACGTAACGATCTTTTTCTGTAACGTAACAGTCCGACTATATTTTTGCAAAATTTCGACCTCAAAATTAATTTTATCAGTTCAATAAATACATAGCTTTTGAGTTATATAAGGAGAAAAGACTATTTCGATAATATAAAGCAGCTTTTGAAAGTACTTGCAAAAATTTTAATGTAGTATAACTCCTAAACAACAGGAGGTGCAATTTATTTTAGGTATGCATATATTAAATATTGCCACATACTTATGCTTTTAGATAGATGCAAGCATTAAAACTATTCCAAAGTTGTATTACAGCGATTTTCAGCGGTATTTAAAAAGCACTGTGAATATATTATAATTGAGGGATTCACAACGCTGTCGTAAGTGTCGTATTCTTGTATGTCGTAAACTTTAAAAGCTTAAACAAATGTTTAGAGAACTTGAAACGACAACCAACTATTTTTTAACACTGAAAAAGTTCATAATATGACTTTGATGGTACTTTGCGAAGCCCCCTAATATAGTTGTTAGGCGTTTAAAGTTTACGACATACAACAATACGACACTCATTTATAATAAAAGCAATTACATTGTAAGAAAATAATAACAAGTTATGGTTGTGATATTTCAGGGCCCTTAAGAAGCCCGGCCTCGGGAGGATTCACCCCTTTTTCCCCCCTCCCTCTCGACGGGCCTGGGCGTAGGTATGTAAAGCATCTTTTGAAAAGGTACAATGAAAAATCAAGCGCAAAAACGTTTAAATTGTTTAAATAAATAAATAGAAAATAACTAAGGTATGGTTAATGCATAGAAAGTGACAAACACAAATCCGCTGACCTAATAGATTTAACCAGCGACTTCAAGCGATTTCAAAGGAGACCTGCCTTTTTCTTTGGTACTAACAGCGGCATCCGTGTTGAATACTTTCAGGGCTGGAGCGTTTATGCTCATTCGTACGACATGAGCGAGCCAGAGGAGTTGATGCGTTTTGATCGGTTGTACTATGTCTAAGAGCACACGCACAGTGGACGCTGAAAGCCGAGCCGATCGTAAAGCTGATTCCGATCAGCGCTGATCAAAATTTGGTACCGCATAGTGGATGCGAGAATCAGTGCTGAATTTTGCACGTGCTTTAATTTTTTAATATTTTATTATTCACTATGTATGTAAGTGTCGTTTAAAGAAATTGCTTTGTCAGATGAAGACTATTTTGCATGAAGTTCTGTATTGAATATTTTGTCTTAAAAAAGGTCCGTAAATATTCAATGTTTAAGGGGCTCACCCAATCTATCCATCACGGCCTAAAGACAAATTATTTTTATGGTGTTTACAAAGGCCCGAAAAGTAGAGATTTGGGTGCACAAGTACATCCCCAACTTTAAATAGTAGCTGAATAAGTTTCTTTCGACTATCCGTACATTTTCGAGGTCTCCAAGAATAAGGGAAAACGCGGAACACATAACGTTCTTTTGTCCTCGCTACACTCCTTAGCCTCAGAGCATACTATAGTAGAACGAAATTATTTGATAGCGCCAACTGGCAGAAAATATGTGGCCATGTCACACGTTAAAATTCGTAACGAGCCTTTGGGCAAACTAGCCCTTAGTATTACCTTGAATGGTAGTTCTAGGGGGAGAGTGACTTGTGCAGAGGGTTTGGCTAATCTCGAAAACATGCTGAGGAAGGTAGCGGTTTGTAATCGAAATTTGCGAGCTAGTCGGTATTTAATGGCTGTCTAATCCAGAGAATGACATAGCTAGCTAAAAATTTTATAATAACGTACATAGATTTTTATTGAGGGGAGCAGTGTAGTATATACTGTACGGAAATTCCAAAAATCACTGAATTATCAAATTGAACTCGTTATTTATAGTTTCCGCATTTGAATTAATCGATCATAGAGATTTTAGGAGGCATAAAAGCCAATATGATCAAACATATTTAGTCTCAATTAGACGAACTTTTTCATTCCCTTAATCACTTAACCAAGCCACTGAAAGTAAGAGAATAACAGCCGCCGATTGCAAACTGATTAGGATAAACTTTGACAACTCCTTAGTCCTTGTTGGCATTCGGAAACCAATTAAAAAAAACGCTTAAACTAATAAAGAGCAGAAATGACTTTGGCATTGATTTTTCGTTGTCTGATCTTAAAGTACTTAGTTAATCTTTGCTGTGTCTTTGTAGCATTTTTTTAGGTAATACATAACTTCCGTGAAATATTTCTGTAATAAATAAACCATCC